TGCTTTAAATAAATGCCCCCATTTTAGTCTTTCACTGTATAAATTGTCATGTTCAATTGATGTTGTGGTGCCTGGCACAAAGAAGCTCCATTTTCAAACAGCTCATCTGCGAGGATGAATCTCAGTGCAAGCATCACATCAGCTAGTGGACGGCACAGATCTTTACAGTTAAAAAAGGGGTGAGCGTTTCCTTGGATGGAGAGATGAAGACGCGGGTGAGAGAAGCAACAGGAAAACACGGAGTGGACTAATTATAGTCCAAGTACTGAGCACCTGGGGAAGGCTCGACTGCCATGGCAACCCTGAACAGCCAGGATGAGGAAGGAGACCTGAGCGAAAAGATGACATCATTTCGGTAAGTGAAGGAATACAACCAAACATCCTTCTCTGGTTTTATGCATCTTCCTTGAAAAGATGGATTCAAAGTATTTGATGGAAAATGAAACAGCAACCTCTAAAGGAGTCAATGACTTACTGAGAAAAATACATTTTTTGTAAAACATTTCATGAGAAGCTTATGCCTGAAATATGAAAGTACAGTATGTTGGAAAATGTCCAACTCCACCGTGGCTTCTGGAAATATTTCTATGGCTCATTTCTTATTTCTATACAAGAATTTATTAAGGCAATGAGGGGGAGACTGTGCTTGTGAATAACTGATGTCTGCATTTCTCATTTTAAAGTGCTGAGATGAAATAGCAGTTTTGAAATTGAATGCATGCAAATTATTTTTCTCATTTTTATGCAGGTCATACATGGAAAACCAAGCACACATTTATTCAGAGCAGTCATGAAATGGGTGTAGACTTTTCACACTTGTGCACTTCACCAACTTTTACATTCATCATTTGAAAGCTCTCTGACCTTTTGGCTTGAAATGTTGCCAGTGTCTGGTTTGTGTCCGAGCTGGCAGGGGTCAGCAAAAACGAGAAAGCCGCCAGCAGGTAGCGCAGGAATGCTAACTAGACCAATGTCTAGCAGGGATTTAGCCATTATAATATCTCACTTGTGATGGAGCTGAGGAAAAGGCGCTGGCCCTTGATGCCTTTGTGAGCACTGACAGCTACATTCCTCAGACGGAGGCTGGGTGTAGCGTCCTTGCTGGTCCAATAAAGGCTGGATGTACTCTTTGCCTACTGCAGAGTAATTTTGCAGGTCAGGGTGACTTTTAAACTTATTATTCCAAGTCTGTACCAACAGCTGCTTACTCAGCAGCTGTGGAATGAGAGGAACGTCTTTACAACACACTGCTGATTTCTACAGATGGAAATTACATCTGAAAAGTCACAAAAGCTTGAGCTTTGTGGAGATTCAGAGCAGTGGCAATTAATATAGGTTTTATGTGTCAAAATGAGTTATTTGCTTGTTTAAAATATTATAAAAACTAAACAAACAATAAAGGACTTTAGGATGTAGCTGTTGATGTTTCTCCAACCTGAATTTATCGCAACCATCTTTGATTTACAAATTTATGTTTAGTCAACAAGACCAGCGTACGGTCATCAAATACCTGATGCATCACATCAAACCTGCTCGTCTTTATCCGCTTTCATTTAGAAGCCAGGCTACAACGCACAAAAGCAGGCCTTTGAGTTGTCCACCAGAGAAATGCACACAACCAGATTCCTAACGTGCTTTGAAAGAGGGAGATGTTATCCTTCAATAGCACAAACACCAAACAAAAACACGGTGAAAATGCAAAGCAATCCAAAACACAAGACAATTTGTTGCAATGGTATTGAAGAGAGGCAAAAAACAAAAGCTATGACACTGGGAGGGAGGAGGGGGAAATTACAGGTGAGCTTTTCCTCATAAAGCTGATTTACATCACCGCGGGTGGACGCCTATCGCTGGGGTTTTATTAGCCGGACAACAAGTTCTAAAAGACAACGAGCTTATCGTGTTATCCTGTTTACTATGACAGCAGAAACAACAGCATCAAAAGGTCAGGAATGCTGCTCCCCGGGACAGATGGAGCTGAGGGCCCTGGGAGCGTTCATTGGGGAGCCGGCGTCTCAGCGCTGTTGACACAACCCACCCATGCCGATTGCGCCATTCGCTCTCGTCGCCAACTTTTAGCGCCGCTGGTTAAACATACCGGATTAAACAAGTCACATCAAGACAAAGCATATGCTGATAAAAAGCTTACAAGGCCAATTTCAATAAGGCTGTGGTAAAAAAAAAAAAAGTAAAGGCGCCCTTTAATGGAATCCAGCGACATTAAAAAAGACACCATAAGTCATTATCCATTGTTTTCTTACACAAGAAGAGACAGGCACAGTTCGTCACCAAAATGACAAAGCAAGAACCTCACTTTTCCATGACAAATGAATCATTATTACGAGATCAGAAGTAGTAAATGGTTTCTATAGAACTATGCAGAAATGAATCATGACCAAGTTAATCATATCAGCTCCAGATGTTACGATATATAAAAGATCAACATCCACCTCCAAACAGGGCGATGGCTCCTCAACTACCCGTTCAGCACAATCGTCTGATGAAAAAAGAACACCATCCTCTGTAGAAAGCAAAGTAAATACCTCACAGTTCAAATTCAATCACTGATGTTCTGAGACACAAGTGATGCTGGGGGAGGGGGGCAATGTCAGACAAATGAAAAGCAAGAACAAAGTGTGAAGTGGATTTCCCCTTCAAAGAACTCAAAGTGCCATGCGAGCCGCTGAGAAGGTTCCAGAGACAGAAACACTGGCAGCACCAACTGGCATAATGGCATTAGGGCTCTCTAATAAGAGGAGAGGACTGGTCCACCTCAGGCTGAAAGACTGCAGTATGCACACAAACAGACTGTCTGCCCCCATCCAAGATCCATCTTCCAAGGATTTACAAATACACAAAGGCTGGCATCCAACTCCCACGCTTCACACCATGGCCTGCCTGTGCAGGGCGGGCCCATCAGGAAAAGCTGCTTCCTCGAGCTGTGTGTTAAGAGAGGGTATATTTGCATGGGCTAGTCACAGTTAGGCAATAATCATGCCCTAGCAAGATCAAAAACATCATACGTTCTCCTTTTAAAGTCTGATCTAATATTGGTAATGCCTTTTTGGAAAATTCTGACAACTTGTTCCAATGGCAGTTAATCACTCTGTCTTCGGGGTTTGGATCTTAAACCCTGGACTCAGTAAAGACTGTCTGAAGAAGCTTTAGCTATGGGGTACACACAAAGCAAACATCCAAACAGTTCCCCTTATTATTGAGCAAGTGGAGGAAACGGTGATCAGCTGCCCCGTTTCTCTTCTTGTCCGATTAGAGGGAAACCCGATCCTAATAGGTCAAGAAGATAGTGTGAGTAGTGGACATAAAGAAAACAATATATGGATCGGTTGGGCATTGATATTAGCGTCAACCTTTAAATATTACTGACAACATTTGACTCTCCCTGTAGAGACAAGAATTTGTTCTTTATTTTACAACAAGACAATCAAAATTAATCAAAAGCACAATCCTTGTTTAATTCCTTATTAAATAAGTTGAGAAGACTCCTGAATAAATCAAGATGTTTAAAGAGTTCAGGAATTTTTTCAAACAAATTTTAGCCAGCTCCCTGAAACTGGGGGAAGTACCGCTTTTCTAGCCTTATGATGATGTGATAATTACTCATGTACACATAAAAAAAAGGCAAGTTGTGGCTTTTCTCCCAACACAATAGCACAAGACCAAGAACATGACGTGGGGGAACATTCGTACATTCGCAAAGCGATTTCTCCTGCAGAAATGACTTTAAAAACACAGAGGGACTGGTTTTACTGACAGAGTGCCACCGTAATATTTCACCCCAGTTTGTAACTAATCACATTAAAGTCTTTGGTTGGGTTCACGAGGAGCCCGGAGCACAATACGGACGGTCAAATCTCCTGTTGGTTCCCGATCCTCCATAAATGCTGCAGTGCACCGCCGCCATCTTACCTCTCCATTCTCTCCCACCTAACTGAAAGATGTGGACGGTGTCTATACCGTTTGTTTGACACGTTGTTTGCAATCTTTCCTGCTTTGTTTGATTTAAACCACAAACGGACATCGAGCTTTTTTTAAGATACAAAAAGATGCGTTCGAGATTTATTTCCATCAAAAAAACACGCCCACTCCCAAATATTAGCCCTCGGGATATGAAAATTGACACTATGTTGGTTTTACTTACTGTTTTTACTCAGTTTATTCATTTTCGAAACGGGGACACCGTCTATTTTAAGTCAAAATAAGTGTGTTATGATAGTTCTCATCCGTACGTTTACCGTTTTATTGGGGCTGGTATACACACCTTGATGGTCACGTTTAAAAATCACAGCAAACAATGTTCTGATTTTCAGTTTTACATAACAAAAACAAAGTGATCGCGACTTTAAATCTGTGGTCCATTGTCTGTAGTGTCTCATTGTCTTAATAAATCGGGGAATGCACGTTAAACGAAAAAGCACTGCAAAAAGCATAGCGAAACAGCGACGAAGATACGTTAAAATATTCGGATAAAATGTTCGGTTAATGCGTCATGCTCTTGATATGAATCAACCTAAATTACCAAGAAATGTCCTGCTCTATCACCAACATCAAACTAAAATATACATAACCCAAGATTTAGAAATAACCAATAATTAACGTAGGTTGTTGTCAACGTATTTAGCATTAAACATCCGGTTAAAAAACCTTCAGCATAAAAGTCACAGAAGGCAACACGAATCGTGTTCTCTCACGCAAGGTCAAAGATGAATTTACAGTCCACCATAACTGATTGAAAAGGCCTACTTCCACTTCAGCAATCGTTTAAATCATTCAGTACATTTCCAGTTTAACAGAAATACCCTCCAGTAAAGCTAAACGATTTTTTAAGTACATTTAAATATTTGAGCTTTAAATGTGAAGAAAAACAAAAACACTTCCGGTATAATTTTGTTTCGCTAACCTCGGCTAGCTTTGCTGAGCTAGCGGTAACAATATGGTCGAAAATACTACCTATTTTCCTCACAAAGGCCGACTTTTCTTACCTCCACGGCCAAAGCGGAGGCCGCTGCAGCCAGCAGCAGCAGCAAAGCCACTCGGTCCCCCATGTCTGTTCACGAACACCGCGCTCCTACAGGCAGGCTTTCCCCGGGCGTTTGGGTTTCAGCGTCGGAGTGGAAAAGTGTGTGCTCGCCGCCGGTGCGCCCGTTGTCTGATGGAGAGCGATACAGAAGCCGCACAGCTGCTCACAGCCAGATCACCTGACCACGGCCGAGTGGGATTAACGGGGGCGCGCGCGCAGCCTCGCGCTCTCGGGCGCGCGTTATCTTCCTGACCCACACGTTTGTTTTTAGATATTTATTTTTTTACATCTCATGCCTTGAAACGCGCACGCATTCTACACGAACATATTTTTTTTGACAGAAAATGGACGCACACGTTGAATTATTTGTATGAAGAAACTGCGGCTTAAGTCAGTGTGTATATTTCAAAACATATTTAATTTACAGCACAGGCACTGAAACAGCAAGGAAACACTCATTTATTTACCTGACATGTATACATAGTTAAACCTCGTTAATTCACAGTTGTAATACAGATAGGTCACTTTGAGTAGAAAAACCTTAATTTCCCCACAGCTGTATTTGATTTGATTTCTTTTTCAACATGACCCTGTTTAGTTTCAATCCCTGTCTTATATTTCAAGCATGGTAATAAAAGCCAGTTCATTACCAAGAACCAGTCTTTATTAAGAAGTAGATTCAAGTATCTGTACACAAGACAGGTCCAGACCTGACTTGTTTAAAAATTATTTGAAAATTAAAAGAAAAAAAAAAAGAATCATAAACTGCCAACTAAGTCACTTAAAATTGAAATGGGGGAGGATGCACAGACGGCGCAGGTAAGGATCTTAATTGTTCTGCAGCAGGCCTGACCCACATTTAGCCAGATCATTCGTTTCCTGCCCCATTCTCCACTACGGCGAAGAAGAAAGTCAGTCATGCTGACTAGGATATCATAGCCTGCCACTCTTCAAGTTTTAATGTGGATATTTTGGGGTGGGTCGCACCCACACGGCAACAGCAGAGGCTGTAAGGAGGAGTCCAGGTTTCTGAATGCAGGCACAGAAAACAGGCCAAGGCATGGGCTGCGTGGAGGGGATTCACTTGCGGGTGCAGCCGGGGTACGGAGGCGGCGGGGAGTAGCTGGCCGGTGAAGGTTGGGCAGGTGTGTAAGGTGGGGGGTGTAAGGACGGTGGATACATCTCATAATCATACGTGTATGGAGGTGGAGGACCTAAGTCAGAGAAAAAGAAATAAAAATTACATTTAAAAAATGTTAGAATATTAATTTAACAATTATTCACTTCACAAGCCACATCACCCTCCCCATGTGTAGCCACTCTGAACGGTGCCCACTCTGGGTCAGCAAGCCTGTCCCAATTTCAGGGGTTCAACAAGTCAACAGTGCCCTCTGGCGGTACAAATGTCAAACTGCACACCTTAAGGCAGTCGCAAAACATATTGCATCTAGAAATCCCCCATTCCTCCACACATATCTGCAGAAAGAGCAAGAATTATAAATTTTTAAAACACTTTTATTTTTAAACCAAACGCTGATCCCAAATAGTCATGATGGGGATACAAGGTTGGCAGCAAAAAATAAAATATATATAGAAATACCAATTCCCACATTCAAAACAACATTCAAGCATTCATGTTGAGTCTCATGATGGCTCGTCTCCATGAAACCTGATAAGAGCTGAAGGACAACACAAGAAAGGCAGCAGGCCGGTGCGGCATGAAGGAGAACGAAACGTGATAAATAAATGATGAGTCTCAGGGGGGAAAAATGAAAATGGCATTCCTAAGGTTGGAGAGTGTCACAGAACACCAGCTCAGATGAGTGGCCAGCATACTTGTGACAACAGTGTGGAAACTTTGTTGCCATTTTCTCCCCTCAAGCAGAAACAGAGTGGAACAGATGTGAAAGAATGAGAGCAGGGGGAAAAAGGAGAAAACATAAAAGAGCACATTCACAATGTTAAAAGAAAATCTTGTAAATATACAACATAAAAAGCACATCAATCTTTTTTTTTTTTTTAGAAAAAGCGCAAAGTGTTGTTCCCATTATGCACAATGATTTTAATCACTGCTGTTTAAGGCTGGGGTGGGGCCAGTGACATATTATACCTTCTTTACCTTTGTTTCCCCCTTTCTTTCAGAAGTGCTAGCAGGGGGACAGGAGATGAGGTTCCAATGATTTTTTTTTTTTAATTCCCACGTAAAGAAAAATGGCATTTTCACACATACCCACACACTTTCACCTGCAGCATGGAAGTTACAAAAACAGGGTTTCATTTCAAAACTATGTACTTTTCCAAACCACTGGCTGTATTTTCAGGTCATGTTTCACATCTGGTGCTCATTTAGGAAAGAAGTAGCTTGGAAATCCAAGCGGCAACACATGGATTGCATTCTGTAGATGTACGGTTTCATATGGTGTCTAAGAACTGTTAATCTCTTAGACCCAGATAGGTTCAGTGCACAGCATACTGAAACAGTGAAGACCACTGTTTTGATCATATGGGAGTCAAATCAGTCAAAAGCAGTGTGAATCAATATTAGACATTTAAAGTAAAGATCAGTTCTAAAATGCACTCAGGCATCACTGCCTGTTATTCAGAAAATAAAGCCTTAGCTATGCAATGTGTATAAAGATAGTGAAATAAGTCAAAGACAAAATAAGCAGAAGGAAATGGGAATAGAAATAAATGGTGGAACATTTTCAAGGACAAATTGGAGAAAAGAATCGAAACCTCCAACAGACGTCCAGCCGGGCTGAGCTGTGATGAGCAGAGGACCCCGCATGTGTTTGTCTGGATTGTCATGCTAACTAAGGTTCACACAAATCCTACTTTTTGGGCGACTCTTGCGGCTGGTCGGCCGCCTGGACTCACCTGGGTAGCCCTGGCTCACAGTGTTGATGTAAGAGGTGCTGAACACCCCGACCCGCGAGCCGCGTCCGTTCTTCACGCACATGCACATGCAGAGGAACAGCGCCGCCACCGCCCCCATCAGGAACACCACGCCGAAGACGATGCCCGAGATGGCCGTGCCCCTGCAACACAGACAGTCGGCGGTGAGAGGCGGCCGTCTCCATCCCGACTCCTCTGGGGCTGCCATGGAGACCAACTGCAGCATCTCAGCCGCGTGCTAACGGCGCCACACCACGGCTGCAGAGGAGGCTGTGAGCTGGCACTATGAGATAGAGACGGGCTCATTAGCAGGTTGGTCAGCGTTAGTCAGCGTGTCTGAGACAGCTACTGTGGACGGACATTTCACCCAGGCAGCCGCAGCAAAGCGCCGGTAGGAGAGGGAGGGCAGAACAGATGGAGGCGTGAGCTAAACAGGCCCAGCTTCCTCTCTGCGGGACGGAGGCTGAATGTGCTGCAGCAGCTGGGCTGAGTAACGCACACAGGGATCAAAAGGTCACAGCCTCTGCTGCGCCTTCTGGCCCCTTAAAGAGCAGCTGGTTTGAGAATCAGCCCTGCGTCACTCGAAACGTACAGCCCGAGTCAAAGGCTGGGAGTGTCTGTGCATTTTTATTTATTTTTCAAAGATTTTTCTCCCCATTTGGACCAAACCGACTGATCTTTTCTTCTGTGTGACACAGAGGCCTTAACAGATCAAAAACCCCAGAAGCTCCTCCTCCTCTGGGAGTTCTGGGCTGTTTGGAGGGGGTTTGGGGAACACACATCAGATCACGCTCTGTTTTTTTTTTTGTGGAAGTTATTGAGGCTTCCTTAGCAACCGAAGCCGTTCGTTACAGCTTGGCCAAACAGAAACCTCGAGGTTGTCCTGGTTGACCAGACTTGGCTTTTTCTGACCAGCTGTTGTAATCGGCTGTACTCTCACACAGACACAAACAGCCGGGAAAAGAAGGAAGTGGTTTTTCTTGTTGGTTCAGACACTTTTTCTTGCTAAATTGACTAAAAGATGAGATTGAGGTAAAAATCTATATGAAACTAAACTTTTGAAACTTACGAGAGCACATCCCCCACGTAGGCGTAGTAGGAGCAGCAGAAGGGAGGCGACCCGTCACAGCAGTACTCCGTACAGCCCTCACACTGGGCCTCTCCACCACCTGCAAACACACAGCCTTTTGTTGATGCAAGTCAATATTTGGTCTGACCACCTTTATTCTTCAACACAGCCGTAAAATTCTTCCAGCGGGCTTCAGGAATAGTTCTCCAGGCTTCTTGAAGGACGTCCCAAAGCTCTTCTTTGGATGCGGGCTGCTTTTTGCTCACTTCTCTGTCAGATGATCTCACAGTGTTTCAACAGTGTGGAGCTTTGGGCTCTGGGGAGGATTCATCCCTCCATCAGAGCTGCTGCCACTGATTTTTACAAGGAAGACACGCTTCTTGGAAACAAATCCCTTGGACATGACAGATTTACAAAGAGCAGACAAAACAGGGTGGATGAAGTCTACAGCGAACAGGACAGTACTGAGAGACGGCTCAACACTTCACTCCCAACAAAAGTAGTGCTGCCAAACTTCATAATGAACTAAACCGTCCAGAGGTGAGGAAGCATTTACACAGCTGGAGAAGCTCTCGTCTCAGAACGGTTCACTGCAAATCGTAGTGCTGAAGATCAAGTTTCACCTCCAACAAACAACTAAAAACATGCCAGCACGACGCAGTCTGTATCTTACCACCTTATTTTGTCATCAAGAACCTTCTATCCCCAAATACAGTAAATCAATTGACAGCCGGCTGGAAGATTCTTTAGTTGGACAGCAAAGACAAAAGAAAATGCAAGACTCAGTCTTGTTTTTTCTGTATTTGACAAAAACAAAACTAAAAAACTCTTCAGATTAGTCACTCGTGATTCCCCTGCAGCCATCGTTTTTCTGTCAGCTGATTTCTATCCCAGTTTTAATATGTCGGAACTTGTTTTGTTGAAAAAGCCAAAAGGCTCTATTTAGCAACCTGAACCAGTCACCTCAGACGGGCAAATACCAAAAGAATTTCACAGCTAGGTTCAAAGTGCCCACACAAAACACTGAGATTTACATGTTCAAACAGTAAGCTAACATTGGGTTTGGTCCTGATAAAAGTAACCAACCCTCTTTAATGTGATTAATTACTTTCAGCCAGACAAAGTTAGACCTTCAGCAAGAGATTCCACTCTGGTGTTTTGCTTAAAAATGCAGACAGGCAAAAAGTCATTCTGTAATTATGGAAGAGCCAGTATGAAGAATATACTAAAACGATTATAGAAGCATCTCATGAGTTAAAACTAGACAAGAATACATTATTCTTCCATCTGCAGACCAAGCCAGGCAGCAAAGCAGCCCACATGTTCCAGCTGCTGAATCAAACGCTGTAGGCCACAGACTGAGTCTGACCGACCAATCCATGAGAGGCACACGTCTGATGACATCAGAATTAATAAAAGTCTTCCTCATTTGAGTTAAATGACAGATAAGTTTTGGTCAGAATACAAGATTTGGATGGAAAACAGAAATTCAGAGAGTTTGTTATGCGTGTCATGCGCGCTTGCATGGCCCAGTTCAGCTGGTTTAGAATGAGTCATTAGAAATGCATGTAAGAAACAAATAAGATCATTATATGTGAGCATGCCTACCACTAAAGAAATGGACATGAGTCCATCTCGGTTCCGAATGCACAGATTATTCTCCATTTCATGGTCTTAATTTTTTTTTTTTTTTTAAGTCCCCCATCACTAGAAACTGTGTTGATGCAGACTGTTAGAGATGCTTTTATGCAGCTCTTCTTTTGGGGAGTGTATGAAGTCATATTAAGTGTGCTCAGAGGAAGGTCGTGAAATTGGCAAACAGAGGACCCAAGATTGAGAAGCTCAGCAGCCGAATCAGTAAAGTGAGTGGGAGTGATCAGTGGCCTACAGCAGGATGGACCAGATCAAATCCACAGAGCTGCTCATTCAGGAGCACACGCAGCCGTGCACCGCCCCAGCAGCCCTCTCAGGCTCGGCTTTTCCTGACACCTGAGGGGCTTTGTGCTGCCGGGCAGCCGCCCGGAGGCCTTTCACAACCAGCGGCGCGTCAGCGCACTTCAAATGAGCGACGCTGCAAAGAAAACAAGCAGCTGGCACATGTGCAGCTCCTCACTGTGGGTCAGATTCATGTCAGCACTCACTCAGCTCTCTGATGAGGTGGGCCTGCAGGCTAACAGGCTTCTTTTTTTTTTTTTTAAAGAAAAGGCTGAAATACAGGGGAAAGAAGGGTCATATAAACAGTGCTGGCTTTTAAACGCCTAAATCACGATACATTTAGCAAATATGTTGCAATTTGTCACAACAAGCAGGGATTTAGCACAGAGAGCCCAGTTAAATTCATTTTCAAAGCAGAGTGATCTTTAAAGCCCCAATTAATAACAGTCTTTGTAGACAGAAGGCACTCCTTTCATCCCAGGAGACTTTCAGAGGAGGCATCCTTTTCACCTTTTTAGTTCAGCACCACTTTCCTGCTTAGAGGCTGCAACAGACCCCCCCCAGCACCCCCACCCCACACCCCCCAGCCCAGCCCAGCCCAGCCCAGGCAGGCAGTCTGGGTGGTCCGGGGTCCTGGCTCCTGTCTCTCCACACTGGAGACAATGGCACCAAGTCTCCACGAACACGCCCTCACAAACACACGCAAAGCAACCCCCCCCTCCCACACACACACACACACAGCAGCACTGTACTTGTAGGTTTGACTCCGAGCTAAAGTTTACCACTGTCCTTACTTTTTACAGTTTGGAGGAAATCCCCACAGCGTTTGCAATAAGTTGATGGTGGAGCCAGAATCACAACAACTTGCATTTGTGTCATTGTTGGAGCCTGTTTGGGCTTAAAAAGGCGAAAAGGTTCAACTTTAGACTCACCGGTAAACAAGCACAGCAGCAGTGAGTCTCTCAGCCACTTCCATCTCACCACCGGTGTCCCAGTCCTCCTCCTCCACGAGTTTTCCATGCTCTCCCCCACCGTGAGCTCACTTCCCCAGCCTTTCCTGTGTGGGTTCTCTCCCTGACAGCGGTGGATAGTAAAGCCTCCCTGCTCTGCCTCCAGAGCTCACATACTGGGCTCCTGTGCTCCGGCAGCGCTCTTTGTGGGCTCAAACTTCGCCCTGTTTGAGGAGCAGATCCACGTGTGTGCGCCCCTCACACCTCCGGAGCGGCTGCCCAGCTTCTGATC